ATACATTTTTCATCTTTCTCCATCAGATGGAATTATCTTCTGAAAGAGGAATTTCTAAAAAGTTTCCCGTCCAGAAATGAACCTTTTCTAAGATGCTTCCATTGGTTAGAATGTAGCAGTGGGGTGTATTTTTATACTGGATGCTGGGATTTGTAGTCCTCCAGTATATGATTGGCCCATGGAATGATGGCGGTGATGTAGAATGAGCCCCATGTGGACGGTCTCGGCCTTGTCTCTTGTAGGGATCCCCCATTATTGGGGTTGTTCTTGTATCTCTGTGCTCAGCTTTTGTATCTCATCAGCTACTGTCTTCCCCCTCCTGCAGGTTGGAGCCCCCGCAGTACACTCAGATCTTCCTCCTCTGGCACGAGCTCAGTGAGTACGGAGACGGCAGATCAGATCTATGGGATGGCGGTGAGCAGAGCAGAGGGTACGGCATGGAGGCGTATCTGCGCTCGGCTGTCCATGAGGACAATACTGCAGGTGTGTGTGTGTGTGTGTCTGCGCCCCCCGAATAGTACACATTGGGGGACGGGGGACCCCCCACCCCCCTGGAACCTCAGATAGAGATAATCATACTAAAGGGATAATAAAGCGCCACCTGCTGGCTCAGAAGGAGAATGCAATTATTGCCATGTAATATAACACTCCCGCAAGGGTCAGCTCCCAGCAGTATATAGGGCAGGGGCTGGCAACCCTGGCATTCCAGCTGTTGTGGAAAAACAAGTCCCATGAGGCATTGCAAGGCTGTCAGTTGCAAGCATGACTCCCAGAGACAGCGGCATGATGGGATTTGTAGTTAAAGCACAGCTGGAGGGCCAGAGGGGATGAGAAGGGCAGCACGAGGGGTCAATTTACCCCCTGATAACACCTTTCTTGTAATTTGGGTATCAGTGATGGGGGAGGGGCAGGGCGCTTTTAATGCAAAGCCAAAAAGCTGTATAAGCTCCTCGATGACACAATGTATGTCTTCCAGATTGTGGCCCTGGAGGGCGGCCGGTTGCTGTGTCGGGCCCCTCACATGTGACCCCTGAGCAGATCCAAACGTCAGATTTTTGGTCGATGTACCGCCTGGTGCTGACGGCGCTGTGTGACCCCTGGCTGCGGTTCCTGAGCTATGACATCGCCACCTTCCTGAAGTGAGTGTGACTGTACGATGTTACAGGGTGACCCCGCAGCTCCCGCCCCGTGACACCCGCACCTCCCGCCCCGTGACACCCGCATCTCCTGCCCCATGACAACCGCTCCTCCCGCCCCATGACACCCGCATCTCCCGCCCCATGACACCCGCATCTCCCGCCCCATGACACCCGCATCTCCCGCCCCATGACACCCGCATCTCCCGCCCCATGACACCCGCATCTCCCGCCCCATGACACCCGCATCTCCCGCCCCATGACACCCGCATCTCCCGCCCCATGACACCCGCATCTCCCGCCCCATGACACCCGCATCTCCCGCCCCATGACACCCGCATCTCCCGCCCCATGACACCCGCATCTCCCGCCCCATGACACCCGCATCTCCCGCCCCATGACACCCGCATCTCCCGCCCCATGACACCCGCATCTCCCGCCCCATGACACCCGCATCTCCCGCCCCATGACACCCGCATCTCCCGCCCCATGACACCCGCATCTCCCGCCCCATGACACCCGCATCTCCCGCCCCATGACACCCGCATCTCCCGCCCCATGACACCCGCATCTCCCGCCCCATGACACCCGCATCTCCCGCCCCATGACACCCGCATCTCCCGCCCCATGACACCCGCATCTCCCGCCCCATGACACCCGCATCTCCCGCCCCATGACACCCGCATCTCCCGCCCCATGACACCCGCATCTCCCGCCCCATGACACCCGCATCTCCCGCCCCATGACACCCGCATCTCCCGCCCCATGACACCCGCATCTCCCGCCCCATGACACCCGCATCTCCCGCCCCATGACACCCGCATCTCCCGCCCCATGACACCCGCATCTCCCGCCCCATGACACCCGCATCTCCCGCCCCATGACACCCGCATCTCCCGCCCCATGACACCCGCATCTCCCGCCCCATGACACCCGCATCTCCCGCCCCATGACACCCGCATCTCCCGCCCCATGACACCCGCATCTCCCGCCCCATGACACCCGCATCTCCCGCCCCATGACACCCGCATCTCCCGCCCCATGACACCCGCATCTCCCGCCCCATGACACCCGCATCTCCCGCCCCATGACACCCGCATCTCCCGCCCCATGACACCCGCATCTCCCGCCCCATGACACCCGCATCTCCCGCCCCATGACACCCGCATCTCCCGCCCCATGACACCCGCATCTCCCGCCCCATGACACCCGCATCTCCCGCCCCATGACACCCGCATCTCCCGCCCCATGACACCCGCATCTCCCGCCCCATGACACCCGCATCTCCCGCCCCATGACACCCGCATCTCCCGCCCCATGACACCCGCATCTCCCGCCCCATGACACCCGCACCTCCTGCCCCATGACACCCGAACATCCCGACCCATGATACCCGCCGCATGACGCCCGCGCCTCCCGCCCCATGACACCTGCACTTCCCGCCCCATGACACCCGCACCGCTCTCATTCCATTGCAATGTGTCAGCCATTGATCAATGCAGAGCGTGATATCAAAAGTTAACCCTCGGGGCTTCCCCCCCAACACTGCAGGGGTTAACTGCTCATTATCGGACTGATCTTCGGGCCTACGGCAGTGACCCCTCCGCTCCGGCTGTGGTAGACCTGTATTAGATATGATGACATCACGGGTCCTTAGACCACCGGAGCCCCGGGGGCAGAAGAGTCTGCGGGGACTGGTCTTGCAAGCTAGGCAGAACCGAGTATTTCGTCTTTATTCTCACCCCCCCCCTAGACCAGACTGGGGAGACTAAAGCGCCACCTGGCTCAGAAAGAGAATGCACATTATTGCTATGTAATATAACACTCCCTCAAGGGTTAGCCTCCCCCGCGGTATATAGGGCAAGGGTGGGCAACCCCCGACCCTCCAGCTGTTGTGGAACAACAAGTCCCATGATGCATTGCAAGACCGGCAGTTACAGGCATGACTCCCAGAGGCATGCTGGGTTTTGCAGTAGAAGCGCAGCTAGAGGGCGGGAGTTGCCCACCCCGGCCCAAAACAAGCACTTAACCCATCTAGTGTCGGGGTAGCCACCCTGCAAGGGGTTCATTTTCTAAAATCCCGGAGTTCCTCTTTAATAACCTCTTATATCTGAACCCGAAATGCGACATGTTGCATCTTTCCCGTCCTCTGATGTGTCGCCTGCATTCGTTTTCTCTCTGTTTTTCCTTTATGGTCACCCGGTGATCCTGCCTGTGACACACTTCCTGTCATAGGGTGACAACACTCACTCACTACTGTATCTATGGAGGAGCAGTGTTGTCACCCTAAGCTGCTCCTGTAGTTGAACTACAATCTCCTCAGAGGGCAGATCTTTATCTAATGTTTGTGGGTGGCTTTAGTGTGCTCCAAGGATACTTCCAGAGCCTGTATGGGAACAAGATACATCATTAATACCTTTTACGTTGGCTCTCGGTGCTGCTGACCTCTTGCAGCCCCTTTGCAGCCACTTCCTGTCTTCATTCACTCCGGATGGTGACAGCAGTGGACTGTGCCTGCATACGACGACTTCTGCAATGACATGTTTCAGGTTTTGGGGATTGCTTGGACTGTGAGGGTCAGTTTGGGATCACTCAGAGATGAAAGTAAAAAGTTAACAGTGCAGAAAATCCTCCCTGACAACCGGCACAGACGGCAGATATTCTGATGTAAGACGCTGTTCCTCCCGGGGATACCTGAGACGTCAGCTGAGACCGGAGCTTGTTACTGGAGCCGCAGACCCAGCTGTGCCCGGAGCGTACCCAGAACTGTGCCGCGCCAAGGGACGGAGCCATGCCCAGACCCCACCCGGGGAAGACCGTCACCTGGGGGTAAGAGGGCGATTCTGCCCCACTTCTGCTGAGATTAAAGCTGCGCAGACAACACCTGATATCCTATATGATGTCACCAATGAGTCCGACCTGTGTGCAGCCAGAGAGGCATTCAGGGCAAAGGTCAGCCATGGGAGAGATCTCAGTTGTAGGCGGAGTCTCCAGACCTTCTCTCTTCCTGTATCTCTGGGGACTTCAATAGCGAGGTCTCCCTGCAATAGGTTTTGGCTCTGTTCCCATCCACCTTTATATGCACCAGATCCTCCTCATAATGGGCACAGCGGGTGTACAGACCCGGGAACTCAGCACAGGGATGGTGAGAACCCCTCATAATGGGCACAGCAGGTGTACAGACCCGGGAACTCAGCTCAGGGATGGTGGGAGCTCCTCATAATGGGCAAGCAGGTGTACAGACCCAGGAACTCAGCACAGGGATGGTGGGAGCCCTTCATAATGGGCACAGCAGGTGTACAGACCCAGGAACTCAGCTCAGGGATGGTGGGGGCCCCTCATAATGGGCAAGCAGGTGTACAGACCCAGGAACTCAGCACAGGGATGGTGGGAGCCCCGCATAATGGGCACAGCAGGTGTACAGACCCGGGAACTCAGCACAGGGGTCTTGTGGTACCTGATTACAAATAAGTTAAAATGGTTGAGAAAGGTTAATCTAGGTCATGGTATATCCAGTAGTGGTCACATTCAGCTGGAGTCCTGAAGCACTGAAGACACTTCATAGCTTCTCCAAGCTGCTTCTTTCTCATGTCCAACTACACTTGTAGATATCCAATCCACTCTTGCAGTTCTGAAGAAGCGGCTCAGAGAAGCTACATGACGTCTTCCACATTACAGAACAAGGCCAGCTGAATGTGACTAAGAAGCGGCTTGGAGAAGCTATGACATGTCTTCAGTCCAGGTGAATCCAGGAGAGAATCTTGACTGCAATATTAACCAGGAGACATGGGGAATTCCTATGTCTATAGCTCAATCATACATCCCAACTTTCCGAAAGATGTAAAGCTTGGAGAAGAACAAATCCACAGGGTATGGTGGGGCCAGATACATACATACATGGCTGGGTGAGAAGAGAAATATCAGCTAACTGTCTAGAGGTGACAGCATGGGAACAGTGAGGGTGGACCATTCAGAAGATCCAAGAGGCTGATTTTTATCATTTACAAATCAATGTATAGCATAAAATTATTTCTGTATTTTTTTGGTGTATTTTAGATACTGTTCACCAGTTTCCTTCAAGCCCCAAGAGGTGGAGAACTTAGAAAACCCGTCACCAAAGGCCGGACAGAAAAGGTGATAATTCATCCACTTCTATCAGTTATATGTTGGATTGGCAGGTGATCAAGACAAACAATTCCTCATGTAATGGTCAACAAATAAAGTTTGAAATGCCTGAGAAGCTGGGGAACAAGATGAGGTTCCTTACTGAAGAATTAGACCCCTTTCAGATGAGTGTGTCAGGAGAGGACCCGTCAACAGATCCTCTCCTGATCACAGCAGTACGGAGCGGATGTCATCGGTTTGACCAGTATCGTAACAATTGCCAAAGCGACCCAGGCGGCCGCTATGGGGCCCGGGGCACATGGGGGCCCGGCTAGGACATCCCCCTGATGCCGTGCGGGCCACCTGGGTCGCTATGGCATCTCAGGCTGCTACTGGCGGGTGTGAGGAGGAACGCACCGCTATTCACATCACTGACAACCTGTGTAGCGTGTAGCGATGTAGCGCGTTCCTCCTCACAGCCACTGCTGAGTCAGTGACAGCCAGCAGCTGTGGAGGAGGAAGGCTGGGCCCGGCGTCAGCAGCGGAGGAGGCGGGGCCTGCCAGCGCCGGCATAGGAGGCGGGGCCCCGCGCCGGAAGAGGAGGTGGCCTGCCAGCTACCATGGAGGCGGACAGCGGATCAGGGCTGACAGGTAAGAGGTGTGCAGGCCACCTGAGACCCTGCAGAGCCCACCAAAGAGAGTCTATGGTGGGCTCTTCAGGGTCACTCTCAGGTGGGCTGTGTGGGATCTTAGGTGGGTTCTGCAAGGGACATAACTAGAAATCACAGGGCCCCATACAACATTTTGCTATGGGGCCCTGTGATTTCTAGTTACGCCCCTGGCTGTGACATCCATGTCTGTACAGTTTTTTCCTCCATCTTGTGATGGAGGAAAAAACTGAAGCTGCCGGACCCCGGACATGTGTCCATTGTCCCGATCGGAACGCTCATGTGAAAGGCGCCTTAAAAGAAGGAATAAGATTTTTTTTCCAGTAAGTTACTAAGCTCTGGAAATGAAAAGGTTTTTACACGTAAGCACCCATTATAATAATGGATGGAACAAGATATCTGCATTAGGCTCCTTTCACATGAGGTCCGATCAGGTTCATCTGTCAGTTTTTCAGGCGGACCCAATCGGATGCTCTGTGCAAGTCTATGAGCCGCCGTGTGTAAACGCACAAGTGTCCGTTTACACCCGGTTAGCCCCGGCTCTAGCTAGGTTCGGAAAAACAGACGGATCAGAGATCCGTTTTGCCGGATCGGATCGTGCCGGACCTGAAGTAAATCTGAAGTAAACAGACACTGATCCCCATAGACACACACGGGGTTCGGCAGTTTCAATTTTTCCTCCATTGCAGGATGGGAGGAAAAACACTGTATAGACACGGACGTCACAGCGGACCGGACATCCGGTCCGTACTGCTGTGATCAGGAGAGGACCTGTTGACGGACCCTCTCGTGACACGCTCCTCTGAAAGGGGCCGTATTGGTTTTGGTGTGTGAACATAATCATAGAAAATGTAACCCACTGAAAGATTTCCCCCCTATTCCTGTACTCGTGACAACTCAACTTCCTGTACTGAAAACAATGTTCACCACTTTCCGCCCCCAGTGACAGTGTTGACCAGGACAAATGGAGAGGGTGAATCTTTCCAGTGGGGGCCACACAGCGGCAGAGACCAGAGTCTTGAGTGAGAAAATGTGAGTGGGGGGTGTTGGATCCAGAGTTGGTTTACTTCTTAATGTGAGGATTATTCCATCCCCAGGGTAGGTGGCTCTCTAGCATGAAGGGGCCTGAAAGGTGACGCTGCCGAATACAGAAGAGTATAGGGTAACAATAGAGCATCACATCACAGGTTTAGGGGCCCAAAAGTGTTTACCTCATCATAGGAGTCCAATGGTAACAAGCCAACATGTTTTGGGTGCTACCATCATCAGGGCTTCAACAGTCTTTTAGGGACAGGACTAGAGCAGCTGAATCACCCTCCGTTGAACCAATCCATTGAGTCCATTATTCTTTTCAAACCAGCACTTGACAACCAGATGAAGGGGGAACATTGTAGCCTCCAGAACATGTTGGCTTGTTACCTTTGGACTTTCATACTGAAATAAATGATTTTGGATCCCTAAGCCTGTGGTGCGTTGCCCTCATTTCCCTATACTCTTCAGTAACATTTCCACTCCATCCAAAACCAAAAAAGAGTTTTGCCTTTAGATTCGTGTAAAGCAATATAATGAATGATCCTATTCTATTCACCTCACACAGAGCAGGCAAAGAGAGCCAGCAATGGGCAGGAACTTCTGAAGACACAAAGAAGGTCAGGAGACGGAAAGACCCTCTGAGGGTGGCCAAGGTCTTCCCAGAGTATCCTGGCCAGCTGCCATCTGAGCCCGACACCCTGCTAGAGATGATGCAGAACAGAACGGTGTACAAGGTGTACAGGAAAGTGGTGCATGAAACGGAGGAGCACAAGACCCTGAAGGCCCTGGAAATACTTCACGTCCTGCAGAGTGACAAAGGTGACCGAAAAGTGGTGGGATTGGTTCAGAAGGTTCTAGAACTTGACGTTATTCACCTCCCACATTTGCAAGGACTGAAGAAACGTTTAACCCAGGAGCTGGCCAAGGGCAGGATCAGCAGTTTAACGGTGAAAGAAGTAACATCGTTTCTCAGCTCGCTTGTGTCTCCATCCTTCCATATGTTCTGGAGCGAGATGCTTGGCCGGTTGAAAGACTATGGCATGGAACAGCCGGGAGATGAAGGGTGGGCAAGACTAGAGCCGATCCTCCAAGTTCTCACCAGCAAGATGGTCCACAAACGTCTTCATGGTCGGAAGAACAACGCTTGCCACCCGGCACAGATGCAACCGACCAAAGAGGACATAAGTGCCTTTAACCGGGCTCTTCAGCTTGCCGCCGAGGGTTGGCCGACTCCAGAAGTGCTGCATTTCCTGAGGTACCTCCAGATGCACGGTCCTGAAGAGGGGCTTCTGCTCCTCGAGAATAACTTACTGTGCTGCCTGGAGGTACAGAAGTATAGGAATGCCCACCACGCCATGCCAGATCGCGGCCTGCTGAGGAGGAAAGTGCAGGTGGTCAAGGAAAGATTTCTCTTACCACAGGGAAACTCTATCCTGCAGGTAAATGGCCCTAGGTGATATTAGCTTGGTGGGCTGAGTCATCCCATGGCTTCTTATATGTCTGGGATACTCCTGCCACAATTCCCCCTGCCACAATTCCCCGCTCTGCTCCTGTCCACCTGGGAGTTCTCGGTGTCCACGCCGAACTTTGTGTTTTCCACGTAAGGGATGGTGGGAACCCTTTGTAACAACCACAGAAGATGGACAGAGATCCCATAGAGCGCCACCCCAAAGGGATAGAAGGGACTGTTAGGGGTTAGAGAAGAGGCTGGCATTGGGGCAAACTCAATTTATCTGAGTTCTCCCAATCCTCCCTAAAGCTCTAACCACCACCAACTCCTCCCAGCCCAAAATGTGGTGGCAGTTGTTGTAATGTATGGCTGGGGGTGGGAAATGCGCCTCCCCACAGGTGACTGGGTGGGGAAGAGGGGTGGCGGTCAATGTTGAGAAGCCTTGGGTGAACTGTGTTAGCACCAAGCCCAGCCTCATCACTATCAGGGAGGGTCTAACTTTCCAGCTTCTACCAAACCCTAAATATAAATTCTGAGTGGACCGCCCCCTTGATACTCAACCATTCATTCTACCTTCCATAATGCTCCTCTCTATGCATTTTGAAATATTGAGGTAGTGCATGGGCATTGGGAATTGGGCACAAAACCTTAGTCCTCCCACCATGTGGTCTGTCTCAGCCTCATGCTGCAATGGGAAACGTATACAATTTGGTATTAGCTCCCACAAAGCATTGCTTTGATAACTGTCGGGGGTGCTCATGCCTGTACAGTACAACCAACCAATCAGTGTGCATCGGACATGCCTGACGCCACATTTGACATTCTGAAAAGCCCCTTTCTTGTGCACCCAGAAGGGCCCCGGATCCCGGGCACACAGACATGACTTTTCTAAACCTTCCACTCGCCGCGTCTTCCTCTGCCAACCAACATCTTTTTTTTTTTTTTTTTTTTTAAGCCCGTGGAGCGTGCATCGAAACACCCAAAAAGTAAACCACAAAAGTGCATGTGAACACACACAAAAAAGTGCACAGAAGGGGTGCAATCTAAAGGGTCCGTATCCCGAAGAGACAGTGCCCATCCCTGATCCCCCGGGGCGCAAGGCTCCTGACGAGAACAAAGCACTCGTGTCCACCTGGCCAAAACCAGGCGGACCCCTTCCTCGTGGCCATCCGAAGCCGACCACCGGGTGCAAGGGAGACCCCCGATTCGGGGTAGGAAGGAACCTAAGGGCCACACATCCTCCCCCTAGACTTCAGGACAGGCCTGAAGACCCACACCCTCCATCCTGTGGAGTGAAAACCACATAAAAAATAGTGAAAGGTGCACATACAAGTGAGAAAAATCATTTAGAGTGCCAAAGTGCAATACAATGGCTAGGCCTTGCGGCCCGGTAGTAAAGATTACCCCTGGTCTCAGCCATAAGGCCTAGCCCTAGAGGTGAAGTGCCGTTCACACAGAGGGGTCCCACACCCATAGTGCTACTAGGGCACCCCTGGGTCACCACTCCAGGGGGCTTGATAGGGTCGCCACCTTTTCTTCAAGCGAAACCTGTACACTCTAGCATCGCGCGGACATTTTTTGGGAGAACGAGTTCTGGAGTCCTGGCTCATTCATATGTAAATATCACAGTTGAGACTATTTTCAGTGGGGGGGCCAGTAGCCCCTATCTTAATTTTGGTTGCCCCGTGTCTGCCTGACATCTTGTGTCCGGGTTTCTGCTGCCATGAAACCAGTACACAGCATTCAAAACCCAAACTGCCCCGGTGAATGCTGGACAGGTGGCAACCCTAGGGCTTGAACACCACAGGCTTCCTGCCTTCCCGGCCCCCTGGCCAGACAAGGTAGACCCGTCCAAATCAGGAGGAACTGGGCCCTGCCAGATACCAGCGCCGAGGAGTACTCCCGACCCCCACTCTATACACTAATTCGGTTTCCTCCCCATAGCCAGGACCTTTTAGGAACCCCCGTCACCAGGCAGGGTACTCCGATTCCAGCCATAAGGCCAGTACAGCGGCTCCTTTCCCCTCCTGATCACTGATGAGAACAGAACCTACACTTGATCTTAGCCAAAAGGCAGAGAAGCATCTGCCAACCACCATCCCAGAAGGTGATCTCATTGGTTGGTAGGTGGCGGGGAGGGGTGAATACTGAGATCCAAGTTGGAGGCCTCTTGAAACTTCCGAATTCTACCAGGTTCCCTGTAAAGGAGACGCAGCCATTTCTGAAAATGCCAAGTTCCTGGCTTCAGTAGTTTTGAGTCACTGACCTGGAAGAAGAACACAGATAAGGACTTCTTCCTTTCCCCATCTGAACACCTATTTCGGGTCAGTGATTCAGAATATATTGAAGCTGGGGGGTCACCAGGAAGGCCATTTCCAGAAGAAGGTCAGCGACCCAGCCCCGGAATTCCTATAGACACCATCTGATGGGGGAGCCTACTGTAGCCTATAAAACTCTGGAGACAGAAGCCCACCTGACAGTGAGGATAATAAAGAACAATTGTTGCAATTTACAATCTTCCTCCTGCAACGTTTTCCAGAACAATGAACTCCCCTTGTCCCCTGTCTAGGCTCCCCCGGAAATCCTGGCGGCAGCACTGAGAGACGCGGAGGCAGCCGCACGCGCCGACCTGCCCGTCATCTCCATTTTCAACCAGCTCCGGGATTCCCTGTGTGACTCCTTGCTGCCGTTCTGGGCCGGATTCCGGAGAACGTGGCTGATCCGCTCATCGGAGAGCGCCAAGAAAGTCCCATGTAAGTGTAATATTCCGCAAAGAGAACCTGTCCCACGCCTCGCGTATCAAAGCTGCTGGATAGGGGAAGGATGTTACCAACAGCAACCATTTTGTAGTCTGTCCTGCCGAAGTCTCAGCCAGGTTTTGGGAGTGCCGTGAGAATTACAAAAAACCTGACAGGGATGATTCAATCTCCACCCACAGCCTGGTAAGAGGACAGAGCAAAAAGAGACCGATGAGGTCATCTCTCTGCTCACTCTTCTCTCTCCTCCTATCAGCATGTTCCTTGACGACACATTTCCATGAAGCACAGCTCATTGAATCCCATGAAGCACCCCTAATTGGCTCCCATGAAGCTCACCTGATTGAATCCCATGAAGCACACCTGATTGGCTCCCATGAAGCACAGCTGATTGAATCCCATGAAGCACAGCTGATTGAATCCCATGAAGCACAGATGATTGAATCCCATGAAGCATAGCTGATTGAATCCCATGATGCACTGATGATTGAATCCCATGAAGCACAGCTGATTGAATCCCATGAAGCACAACTGATTGACCCCCATGAAGCACAACTGATTGAATCCCATGAAGCACAGCTGATTGAATCCCATGAAGCACAGCTGATTGAATCCCATGAAGCACAGCTGATTGAATCCCATGAAGCACACCTGATTGACCCCCATGAAGCACAACTGATTGAATCCCATGAAGCACACCTGATTGACCCCCATGAAGCACAACTGATTGAATCCCATGAAGACAGCTGATTGAATCCCATAAAGCACAGCTGATTGAATCCCATGAAGCACACCTCATTGGAACCCATGAAGCTCACCTGATTGAATCCCATGAAGCACAACTGATTGAATCCCATGAAGCTCACCTGATTGACTCCTAATCCTACCCCTTCCTCTCCCAAGCAATGTCGCTGTCTGTAGCTCAAAGGCGGCTTTTTAATGATAAAAACTTGTAGATTTTGTCACAATGTAATATTATTGTATCCATGCCATGTCTGCATGCCGCCATATTGGAGTGACCCGCCGTCCTCTCTCTCCCCAGTGCTCCGTGTGCAGCAGATGCTCCGGAAACGTTTGGCATTGTTTGAGGTAGAGGAGAGACCCCTGAGGACCTTCCACCTCCCCCCCGTCCAGCACCCCCCAGAGAAGAGTCCTCCATCTGTACTGACCTTCAGCTTCAGCATCAGTCACGGCATCACTGTAAAGGTATCCATGGTAACCGGTGTGTAATGATGGCGCGTCCGTGGGTGAAGACTCTGTGTACAGCGCTGCGGTCTATGTCAGAGCTATATACATGTATAATAATGATAATCTGAATGAAAACCATTTAAATGTCCATCTTACATATTAGAGTGATTCTAGATGTGAGAATACAGAAACTATCATTGATTCAGGGATCCAACTGGGGGTAACACTCCTCCATGCAGGCAGCTGGGGGTAACACTCCTCCATGCAGGCAGCTGGGGGTAACACTCCTCCATGCAGGCAGCTGGGGGTAACACTCCTCCATGCAGGCAGCTCGCCTCTTCTTTTTTTTCTGAGAATACAGAAACTATCATTGATTCAGGGATCCAGCTGGGGGTTATACTCCTCCATGCAGGCAGCTAGGGATATACTCCTCCATGCAGGCAGCTAGGGATATACTCCTCCATGCAGGCAGCTAGGGATATACTCCTCCATGCAGGCAGCTAGGGATATACTCCTCCATGCAGACAACTAGGGATATACTCCTCCATGCAGACAACTAGGGATATACTCCTCCATGCAGACAACTAGGGATATACTCCTCCATGCAGACAGCTAGGGATATACTCCTCCATGCAGACAGCTAGGGATATACTCCTCCATGCAGACAGCTAGGGATATACTCCTCCATGCAGACAACTAGGGATATACTCCTCCATGCAGACAGCTAGGGATATACTCCTCCATGCAGACAACTAGGGATATACTCCTCCATGCAGGCAGCTAGGGATATACTCCTCCATGCAGACAGCTAGGGATATACTCCTCCATGCAGACAACTAGGGATATACTCCTCCATGCAGACAGCTAGGGATATACTCCTCCATTCAGACAACTAGGGATATACTCCTCCATGCAGACAGCTAGGGATATACTCCATGCAGACAGCTGGGGTAATACTTCTCCAAATCAGATAATGGTAATACTCCTCCGTGCAGACAGCTGAGGATAATACTCCATACAGACAGCTGGGGGTGGTACTCCTCCATGTGTCCAGCTGGGGGTAATACCCCTCCATGCAGACAGTTTGTGGTAATACTCTTCCATTCAGCCAGTTGGGGGTAATACTCCTCCATGCAGACAGCTGAAGGGTAATACTCCTTAATGCAACCATGTGGCGATAATACTACCCTGTGGCTGGCTTGGGGTAGTACTGCCCCATGCAGCCAGCTGATGGCAATACTCCTCCATGCAGCCAGCTGTTGGTAATACTCCTCCATGTGCCCAGCCATCCCCGCCCCCCATTGATAGGGGGAGATCCAAGTGGGCCGGTTTATTGGGTACAGTAGACATTGCTCGGAGGACGTCCCTTGTAATAAGGAAATAACATTGAGGGTTAATGTCTACAAACATCGCAGTTCACCGAGAGCCGAGCACAGCGCGGGGGAGAAGACTCGTCGGCACTGGTTAGCTCGGAGTGATTGTCGGCTTTAATCCGAGGAAGATGCTCAGACAATTCTTCAATCACCAAATCTGATTCCTAAACAAAATTGCAGTTTTTTGTCCAGCTAAACTACATGTACATTTGTTCTGTGTGAATTAACCGACTGCTTTGAGACTCGGGCAACATCAAATGTTCTTCAGGCTTTTTTTCTTCAAATATCACGAGCAGTAGTAGCGATGGTTACATTCGTTTGCATATTCCCTCCGGCGCTCCCTACAATTGTTACATTGTATCTCCTCTTACTAAGATGTATTTCCTATGCTCCTCATCGCCACCTAGTGGCCATAATATGTATATATTTCCGGTGCTCCTCGGCTCCATCTAGTGGCCATAATATGTAGATATTTCCTATGCTCCTCAGCTCCACCTAGTGGCCATATGTATATATTTCCTGTGCTCCTCAGCTCCATCTAGTGGCCATATGTAGATATTTCCTATGCTCCTCAGCGCCACCTAGTGGCCATATGTATATATTTCCTATGCTCCTCAGCTCTACCTAGTGGCCATATGTATATATTTCCTTTGCTCCTCAGCTTTACCTATTGGCCATATGTATATATTTCCTTTGCTCCTCAGCTCTACCTATTGGCCATATGTATATATTTCCTGTGCTCCTCAGCTCCATCTAGTGTCCATATGTATTTATTTCCTGTGCTCCTCAGCTCCATCTAGTGTACATATGTATTTATTTCCTGTGCTCCTCAGCGCCACCTAGTGTCCATATGTATTTATTTCCTGTGCTCCTCAGCGCCACCTAGTGTCCATATGTATTTACTTCCTATGCTCCTCAGCGCCAACTAGTGACCACAATGTGGTATTGAGATTCACAGTACATTATGGCCACTAGATGGAGCTGGGGGGCACAGGAAATTCCTATGCTCTTCAGCTACAATGCATCTCCTTCGCACAGCTTTTCGCTATGCTAACGGTTTACAATTCAGCCCCATACAGTTTTTTTCTAACCAGTTTAGGGACTGTGTGTGTTCTATTTATAAACTATCCACAGGGCCCTTCGCCATGTGAATATCTCTGAATGTTCGATCTGTGCCAATATATGCCAAAGGAAAGGTTCTTTACTGCTAGATTGTAAGCCCTTCTAACCCTCCTGTATCGAAATTATATTGTAACTGTACTGTTTCCCTCCATTTTGTAAAGTGCTGTGCAGACTGTTGGCGCTATGTAAATCCTGAATAATAATAATAATAATAATAATAATAAAAGAAATGTATTTTCATTTTTTCCCCTTAATGTAATTTTAC